GTGGGTCTCGTCTCCAGAATTGAACTTGTCTTTCTTCCAAAACGTCCCTCCTCTTCCGTGAAGGAAGGTGCTTGTGGACTGGCCTTAGGAAATGTCGCCCAGACAGGAACAGCACACCAGTGTGCCATCACTCAACCCAGAAGCGAGGTTTGCAGTGGCCTTCTCTCCGCTTGAGAGTTCTGCTACACTACGAACACCACTATCATATTTATTTGTGGGAAACTGAACAACAAAGCCCTGGGTGGGGGATCCATAATTTACCATCTTCCTGTGAAATTTAGTTCTGGTCTTGGAAAAAAGAGGAGGAGGAATTTTTATTTCCAGCCTTGTGTGTGTGGTGAGGTTTGTCTGGAACAGTGGTTCTTGCAGAGGAATACTGGCCAGGTATTGACTTGAGTCAAAAAACTGAAAAAGATCCATGAAAACAACCACCACCTTCAAGTGAGCCGCTTAGAGATAAGCACAGCTAAACACCCGGACACCCAGCTGATGGACGGTTTCTCTTGATTTTGGTGTGATGAAGCCCACAGAGCTGAAGGGCATTAAATACAGCTGTTGGGGCTAGGGGTCCATTCAGAGAATATTCTCATGCTTGTATCTAATAATCTAAGAATATATATGTAGATTCTACAATTTTTGGAATTAGGTTTTAAAAGAAAAATAATCATTTAAAAGCTAGCGAAGTAAATGTTTGTTGGGGGAGAAAAGTTTGATCCAAATATTGAATCAGTCTTAAAAAATTAAAATATGTTCTTGAGATGGAGCAGTCAGTCTTACCAAACAACATTACATCCTGGCTCGATTGCAGGCCATGGATAGTTTTTGTTTTGTTTTCTCTGCTGCTTAGAAATCAAAAACCCTTTAGAAAGTTAACAGTGTATTGGGGAAAGCATGCCAAGCCTTGGACCCTAACTTATTATACATTTAAAGACAATGAATCTGTGATCAGAAAGCAGAAAGCCAGAGCTAAAGCAGAAGGTTTTCTAGTTGGAAGAAAGAAAGATGCATAAAGCAAATTAGAGGAATGGACTATTAAAAATGGCCTGTAATCCCCATCTCCTCAGGATCTTATATTCTCATTCTCCATAGTTCTATACAAACACATGCACAGACACCTGTATTTATCACAGATGCTCCTGGGGTGGGGAATATTAACCAGGCTATGTATACAAGTGTTTCATCTCCACAAATCAGGATATCTTCTCTTCTTTTGAGGCAAGATCTCACTCTGTCACCCAAGATCTCACTCCACTCACTGGAGTGCAATAGCATAATCATGGCTCACTGCAGGCTCAGCCTCCTGGGCTCAAGCAAACCTCTTGCCTTAGCCTTCTGAGTAGCTGAGACCACAGGCGTGTGCTAGCACGCTTGGCTAATTTTTTTTTTTGTAGAGACGGCGTCTCCCTGTGTTGCCAAGGCTGGCCTCTAACTCCCAAGCTCAAGCAATCCTCCCATCTCGGCCTCTTAGAGTGCTGGGATTACAGTCATGAGCCATCATGCCCAGCTGGTACATTTTCAATGGTCAGGGCACCAAGCGGTGTCTGAGCCTGCACCAGTTGCCTTACTTTATAAATGGAGTTCATTTCAAACACAAAATGCTAATTTTTCCTCTGAAGAGCAGCGGTTCTCGGCCAGCTGCAGTTTTGCAATGTGGGACATTTGGCAACGTGTGCAGGCGTTTTGGGTTGTCACCACTGCAAGGGGGTAGGGGGAGTCCAAGGATGCTGCAGAACATCGTGCTGGGCCTGGAACAGGCTTGCTTTTTTTGTTTTTGTTTGTTTGTTTTTTGATTCTTTTTTCCCAGAGTAAAAGAGGAAAGGAGCTAGGCATGGCAAACAAGATGGGAAGCTGGGGTGTTTGCCAGGTCCTGCCAGACATATTTCCTCTCTGTGCCTCAATTTCCTCATCTGTAACATGCAGAGATGAGATGAGATGCTCTCCAAGATCGGTCCTTTCCAGCTACCCTCAGTGGGAGGTGGCACCGTGCCCTGCTTCCCAGGCTGACTCGTCCTTTGTATTTCTCTTTCTTTCCACGGGACTCCAGATTCATGCCAGTCCCACTAGCCCTGTTGCCCTGTTCCTAAGCCTGTCCCAAAATCCTCGGGACTAAGTGAGGCTGAAGCTATAGCGCTCTGCTCTTCCTACCTTTTTAAGAGGTTCTTACATTTTAAAACTTCAATTTTTCAAACATTCCCTGGCTTACAGAAAAAGATAAAATAAAAAGCTGTAATTGTGAAAATGTAATTGCTCAACTTCAGCTCATGCTCCAGATCAGTGATTTTCTCTTTTAGCCAAACTTCTTTATAATTATTTCCTTTATTTTTATAATATATTCTTCAAAATTAATTTCAAAAGTCCTTATCTACAGTCTTTCACAAATGTATGTATAACCTAGAGAATTTTGGTAATACTTTTGTAATACATTTATATTGGGATTTGTAGCTGCCAGCTTTTTTTTTTTTTTTTTTTTTTTTTTTTTTTTGAGAAAGGGTCTCACTTCCATTGCCCAGGCTGGAGTGCAGTGGCATGATTGCGACTCACTGCAGCCTCGACTTTCCAGGCTCAGATGATTCTCCCACCTCAGTCTCCTGAGTAGCTGGGACTACAGGCGTGCACCACCACACTCAGCTAGTTTTTTTGGGTTTGTTCGTTTGTTTGTTTTGTTTTGTTTTGTTTTTGTAGAGACAGAGTTTTGCCATGTTGCCCAGGCAGATCTCAAACTCCTGGGCTCAGGCAGTCTGCCTGCTTTGGCCTCCCAAATTACTGAGATGATAGGTGCGCACCACTGTGCCCGGCCCAAGATGTTTTTTCAGTCCATTCTTTTTGCTCCTCCTAGTAATCCTTCGTAGCAACCAGCCTTCCATTGTTCAGTCACCAGAAGTTAATGATAGAAAACCGGAGATTTCCAGCTGTGCACGATGTAGAGAGAAACCTAAACTCTGTACATTTGCTATTGGCACTGTGTTGCTGCAGTCACTGCAGCACTCAGCATCACCAGAAGCCTGCCCAGTGCTGTAACATTCTTTAGATAGATTTTTGTTGTTGTTTTATTTTGTCTCCTTAAATAATATTTAACTTTTCATTAGGTCATGCTATGATTTCATAGCTTCTTTAGTCTCTAATATTTTCTTCTGCATGCTGTCTTTGGAAAGACTGCTCCAGAGTTCAAGCACAAATCCTAGGACACATGTGTATTTTGACTGTCAAATTTTCATTGCAGGATGTGCAGAAGTACAGAAATGGCACCAAATTAAGCAAAGAAGATAAGAATTTTTGAATGACAAAGTTCTGGCAACTATAAAATAAAGTCTATTAAGAGTGCAAAGTGAGAGGTGGAATGACGCCAGGGCAGCTGCATTCATTATCTCTTGCTGGATAACAGACGACCACACGTTTAGCAGCTTGAAAACAACACACATTCATTCTCTCACCATGGCTGCGGGTCAGGGGTGCAGGCACAGCACAGCTGGGGCCATTGCTCAGTGTCCCACAAGGTTTGGTCCAGGTGTCAGCCAGGCTGCACTCTCCTTTAAGCTCGGGGCTTTTCTTCCAAGCACAGGTTGTTGGTAGAATTCAGTTCCTGTGGCTGCGGGACTGCGACCCTCAGCTCCCTGCAGGCTGCCTGCCATTGCCTGCACAGATCACGCAATGTGGTGGTAATAATCACGAGAGAGAAGTATGGTCAACCTTGCCATATAATGTAACCTAACCTAGGGAGTGGTGCCCCATCTCCTTGACATATTCTGGAAGCAAGTGACAGATCTTGCCCATCCTCAAGGGTCAGGAGTATACCAGGGCAGGACTTTGTGGGGGTAAGGTATGTCCCTGGCGGTAACAACTACTTTGAATCCTCCTATTAAATGTAAAATATCTTCCAACTTAAACATACACTTTGCACTTTTTTCCTCTGAGCAAACAAAAACTTAATCCTCATTCAACAATGAAAGTTTTGCTGCCTGTAAAGATACTTGAAAATGTGTGATACAGACACCGAAGGCAGTTCCCAAACAGCCTAAAGATGTTTAGTGCTGGCTGGGCGTGGCGGCTGACGCCTGTAATCCCACCACTTTGGAAGTCTGAGGCAGGTGGATCCCTTGAGTTCAGAAGCTCAACACCAGCCTGGGTAACAGCAAAACCTTGTCTCTACAAAAAGAACCAAAAAATTAGCTGGGCGTGGTGATGCCCACCTTTGGTCACAGCTGCTTGGGAGGCTGAAGTGAGAGGATTGCTTGAGCCCAGGAGGTGGAGGTTGCAGTAAGCCCAGATCATGCCACTGCTCCCCAGCCTGGGCAACACAGCAAGACCCTGTCTCCAAAAAAAAAAAAAAAAAGAAAAAAGAAAAAAAAAGAGACCAGGCGTGGTGGCTCACGCCCGTAATCCCAACACTTTGGGAGGCCAAGGCAGGGAGATCACGAGGTCAGGAGATCGACACCATCTTGGCCAACATGGTGAAACCCCGTCTCTACAAAAAATACAAACATTAGCCGGGTGCAGTGGCAGGCGCCTGTAGTCCCAGCTACTCGGGAGGCTGAGGCAGGAGAATCCCTTGAACCCAAGAGGCGGAGGTTGCAGTGAGCTGAGATCGTGCCACTGCACTCCAGCCTGGCAACAGAGCGAGACTCTGTCTCAAAAGAAAAAAGATGTTTAGTGTTGGTGACATCATTGACATTAGTTGTGGCCTTTCTGGGGCTGCCCAGCTGTTTGGAGTGAACAGCTCCTACTGATTTATGAATTCTGGTTTGTTCATGGACAACAGAGTTCTTTCCTTGCTTGTTCCCTTTGGGCTGGTTTGCTCTTGTGTGTAACCGGGTGGTATCTCAGAAAACCAGACTGTCTTGGCTGTCTCACACAGAAGCCCCTGAACTGCCCATCCTCCTTCCCCAGATTTCTGCCTGCCTTCTGGGCACCAGAAGTCTTAGCCAGACGGATACAGCGGGTTCTGTGGTGAAACACAAATGACAGAGGTGCTCCCTGCCTTCTGTGTTCTGGTTTTCCACCAGGAGCCCTGGCCTCCTTGCAGAAACATCGAGGTGACATGTAGCATGACCGAGCTCGCTGGCGCCTCTTCATCGTGCTGCCACCGCCCTGCAGGAAGAGGGGCCATGCAGTCAGTCTTGCACCACTTTCAACGTTTACGAGGGAGAGGTACTGCGGTTCCTCATGTGGCCAGGACCGTGTGGTCACTCTTTGGGGGTGTTGACGTGGCCGCGGGTATACTTGGTCACCTCTCCATGTGTCCAGAAAAGTGCTCAGTGTTGAATCCAGCCACGTCTGCCTGAGTGCACTTTGGGATTCCATTCCTGCCGCTTACGGGGCGCACTGCAGATCCCTGCATGCACAGAGCTTTACTGAACACGAAGTCAGCTGTTCGTTGCCGTGCTTGGTTGCCGCTGCTTCTGGCTGCGTTCATGTGGTTTTTGCTCAGTTCTTCCTTGGCCTTAGGAAATAGGCCAACTCTTGTTTTTTCGGAAAACATTTCACCTGGGCATGTTTTTATATCTATAATTATGGAATTTTTATGTAATCATAATTACAAAATATAACACAATCAGATGTTAATTACCTTCATGTGTATAATAGCATGGATATTATTTTCTTTAATCATCTCAAAAAAAAGAGAAAAATACAAGCAGGGTTTCAAAACTCTCTTCTCTTTTTGAACAGAGGGTGGCTCCCACTTCGTCAACACCTCATCGCCGCGAGGTGAGGCTAAGATGAGCATAACCAGTGATGAGGTGAACTTCCTGGTGTATCGGTATCTCCAGGAGTCAGGTAAGAGGCTTGGTTTTCTGTTGGGAGGAAATTTATCTTCAGCATCTTACAAGCAGAAAGATCAACGCTTAATTCAAAACCAGGCTGTAGAAGAAGAAGAAGAGCTAAGAAGGTTCTTAGTGCTGATGGGGAGAAGAGAAGGTTCTGGAGCCGTGCCATCCCCGGTGGAAAGAGGCAATGTGTTCTTTCTTCCCTTGACACTTCTGTGGAGATGAATCAGGCAGGAATCAAGAGCGGTTGTGGTGAATGTGGAAAGGACGGAAGCAGTGCGGGGCTCTTGGCCTCCACCTCGGCAAGGGCATGCCTGAGCTGGGGTGTGTGTGTGAATCTCTTCAATTTTGCTCCAGAGATTTATTCAGCTCTCCAGCCTCTCCTACTCCCCACCCCCAAATGGGCTGCTAGGCCGTTTTCTAAAACTTAGGAATCGTCCTAGCATCTTCCAACATTTTTGATTACCACTGAGACATTACTTTATGGTTAGTAAGTAAACAGCCAATCACATGTATTCCTTGTTGACAGAACAGACCTTGAGCTGGGCAGTTGCCCTCCTCTGCCAGCAGAGAAGTGGCAGGAGGAAGCCACAGAGCCCAGGGCTTGGGTTCTGGCCTGGCTTTTAGCCTGGGTTCGTGGGATCCCTCCAATAAGTCGTTTAGTTTCTACAGTGAAAGCTTATTTTTTTACATTTTAAAACTTAGAAGATATGTAATTTAAGACTCACAAAACAACATTGGTGCAAAACGTCCTGATAGCCACCTACCCGTTCAACTTAAGAAACAAACCTCTCAGGTGCATTGGAAACCCCGCCCGTGTTTGCCTCCCCGCTTCCTCGATGATAATGACCCTGGTGGGCTTGCTGGTTGTTATCTCCACGTGTTTGCTACACATTGCCGTTTTCCTAAGCAACATACAGTGCAGGTGAATTCGTTTCCTAGGGCTGCTATAACAATGTACCTGCAAACTGGGGTGGCTTAAAAAGAAATATGTTGTCTCCTAGTTCCTAAGGACAGAAGTCCAAGATGAAGGTGTAGGCAGGTCGGTTCCTTCTAAGGGGAAGTCGCTCCTGTGCCCCTGCCTGGCTCCTGGGACCTTGCTGCAGTCTTTGGATTCCTTGGCTTGTAGGCACATCACCCTCGTCTCTGTGTTCAGATTTGTCCACATTTCCCTGTGGTAAAGACAGATTGCATTCGGCATTTACCCTCCTCCAAGACAACCTCATTGTAGCTATTGTTTTTGAATACAGCAATAATTACATCTGCAGTGACCCTGTTTCTGAATAATGTCACATTCTGAGGTGCACTGTTGGTGAGCACTTCAACCTGTGAATTTGTGGAGGAGGGGGCACACTTCAACTCGTAACAGTTGGTTTGGGATCTTTTTCAGCTTCGTGTCCTTGATACGAGATTGTATATATTCTGGAACTTGATTATTTGAAAAGGAAACCCCAGTTCCTAGGCCTCCTCCTCCCAGAGATGCATGCGTTCGATTTGAGGGAAAACCAGTCTACGATCCTCTAGGTGTGGGTTCTCTCACAGCTGGCCTGGTAGGGTAGGATGTAGGCATTGGAGCCACACAGAATGGCTCGAGCTCTGATCCTCAAACAAGTCTGAGTGAGGCCTGTTCATTAGAGCCTGGGTTTCCTTGACCAGGCAAATGTGGTCAAGTATGTCGGGCATGTAGTGCATTGTAAGTGCATGCCTTCCCCATCCAAGCCTGGGTCTCTGTCCCATGCACTCCCAGCTAGTGTTATTCATGGAAAGTGCGCGTTCTTTCTGCATATATATCGGATGCCTGCGATTGGCTGTTGCCAGAACATAGTATAAGAAATTGGTATACAAAACAAAATATGTACTGCCTCACCCCTGGAAATGGGGGAAGTGATAACTGCTCTGCTAATACATCAACCTCAGTTCTTAGAGCAGCACAGGTGGTCTCCCGCCTCAGAGCTCAGAGCTTTCTAGAGGTGCCTGCAAATGGAAATCACATGTACCAAACCCTGTTTCCCCGTTGACTTGTGGCATGGAATTTGAGATTCTTTCCATTAGCAACACCTCTGCACAAGGACACAGTGAAGGCCAAAGAGACTCACAGCTCTTGTGTAAACAAGTCCCAGGCTGGAACTGTCGGGTGCGAAGGACCACGTGCTCCGTAACCTGGAGACAGCCATGCTGCTGGCTGGTCCCCAGGGCCACGGAGCATGAGCTTTGCTGGCTTCTTGAAATAAACACAGAAACCCCCATCCCTCCCCAGAAAGGTCGGCTTCCTTATTCAGTATTTGTTTATGAAGCTTCTGTAACTAGGCAGCTGAGAGGGAGAATCAGAGCACAACAATGCATAGACCTTGGCAAATGTCAACTTTGTGTAACATCTGTGAGCTCCATTCCTGATTCATCAGTGTCACTAAAGTATAATAACACTTCTTAGGCAGAGTTGATATTGAAGAGAGAGACTATGGCACTTTCTTCAGCTCACTGTGTGCATTGTGGAACTTTTTAGAGCACCCTACAAGGTTATATTCAAAGGAAGAAGGAGCAAAGAAATACTTAATGTTGAAATGTTCATTCTGGAGTTTTCTGTTTGTCTCAAGTCCTAAAGTTTTGGTTAGGTCAATAGTCATTGAGCCCCCATCAAGAAAGCGTACCTTCTCAGCCTGTCGCTCTCTCCCTTCTACCTGAAATAAAAAGGAAAACATTTCCCTGATCATGCTTCCTCCTCAAGCACCTGTATTCTCGTTCCTGCACCTCACCAAACTCATTAAAAACAAGTTCTGCATCTCAGAAGATGATTCATTCCTCAACTCCCTCCAGTCTGGCTTTCTCCACTAGAAGTTGTCAGTAAATTCTGGGTTCCCAGATCCAGTGATCTTACTGCAACTGGCTTTCCTCCTTCCCTGGTCATCCCTCCTTACCTGTGTGTGGCAGGAAGCGGGTGGGGGTGGGGGTGGGGGTGGGCAGTGAGGAAGGGAGTAGGTGTTTCCCTGCGGTGCAGCAGGACAGCTGCTTCGTGGAAGGTCTGCTCAGAACACTCAACCCCACCTTCCAGGTGCAGTGATGGACACGTTTTTCAGAGTCACCAAGCATGTAGCCTGAGCCCTGCTTCTCTACCCTGGACCCAGCAGACCAGATGCCGTTCATCTCCTTCACCAGTGTCTCTCTTCCTCCCCTCTGCCAGTATCCATGGTGTCAGTTAGGATGCATTAGGCTGCAAGGAAGGGAATCCTCAGTGGAGCACTGATGACCTCAGATAGCAGGGAAGCAGGGTGTTGAAGAAGAATCCAAGGCACATCTCTTCAAACTCGGCAAAGAACCTCAAAAACAGACGTGTTTTGTTCCTCTGCCCACAACAGGCAGAAGTCAGGTCATCTGGCTTTTAGCAAACCACATATATTTCCCTACCTGTGTGGATTAGTGGATTTTCGTTGTTGCCCTTGTTACTTGTCCAAAGCAAGGGCTTTGCCCATCAGAAGCACTCAATGGATGTTACCCACAGGTGACATCTCATAGCAGCAGACTCATGGCAGTCTGAAAGAGGAAACTAGTTAAAGCAAGAATGTTAAGTAGTAGGGAACTTCTGCATTACCAAACTCTAGTGCCAAAATGGATTTGTTGGATTTTGCATGAGTTCAGCAGTCTGGCTTTGACAGGTGATATGGTTTGGCTATGTCCCCACCCAAATCTCATCTTGAATTGTACCTCCCATAATTCCCACATGTCATGGGGAGGGACCCAGTGGGATGTAAATGAATCATGGGAGCAGGTTTTCCCGTGCTGTTCTCGTGGTAAGTGAATAAGTCTCACGAGACCTGATGGTTTTATAAAGGCGAGTTCCCTTGCACACCTTCTCTTTCCTGCAGCCATGTAAGATGTGACTTTGCACCTCATTCACCTTCTGCCATGATTGTGAGGCCTCCCCAACCATGTGAAACTGTGAGTCCATTAAACCTCTTTCCTTTATAAATTACCCAGTCTCAGGTAGGTCTGTGTTAGCAGCGTGAGAACGGACTAATACAATGCGTGAGTCCATTGGCCTCTGTCTTACGGGATCCATTGCCCGGTCACTTGTGCTATCTGGGCAGTTTTTAAGAATCACGTGGTGACTATGTGCCTTTCCCATGGTCTCATGTTACCATCCCAGGAGAAGAGAAGCAAGGGAGCGAGCCCCTATAAATGTGCACAGCCTGCACCTGCTGTAGTGAGCAGCTCCCCCAAATGCTTGGGGAATCGTGAGTTGTTTGCCCCCGCATATTTCTGAATACAGCAAGGGAAGTGGAAGTCCATTTTCCACTTAGTATGGAAAGAGAAAATTTGGCAAGTGAGTCCCTGTAAACATATTATTTCCTCTGGGACTTCATCCCAAAATCCAAACTATAAAGAAAACATGTTCTCCCAGACCCACATTTTTAGCATAAATTAAATAATTCACAGGAACTTGCAAAACGGTATGAGGAATACAGGGGAACAGAACTACAGATTCAAACTGAATTTAACTGAGAAAGAGCTGCCTGCAAGATAATCGGGTGATAGATTCGGGGGAAAGGAAGGTACTATGAAAAATTTTGTTTTTTGAGACTCACTCACACCGAGGGTCTCACTCTGTTGCCCCAGGCTGGAGTACAGTGGCACGATCACGGCTCACTTCAGGCTCTACCTCCCAAGCTCAAGTGATCCTCCCACCTCAGCCGCCCGAGCAGCTGGGACTACAGGCTTGTCCCACAAGAAATTATGCCCAGCTAGTTTCTTATTTTCTATTGTATTTTATTTGTAGAGATAGGGTCTCACTGTGTTGCCCAATCTGGTCTCAAACTCCTGGGTTCAATAGATCCTCCCACCCTGGCCTCATAAAGTGCTGGGATTACAGGCATGAGCCACCACATCACCTGGCCAAAAACATTTTTAAAGGAGAAGATACTGTCTGAAGAGGAAAGAAGGAAGGAATGTATAGAGCTGGCTTGAGCATAATGAACACACAGAACAGTTCTGTCATCCTCAAAATTGCCTTGTGTC